GGGGCGCCGGGTGGGCGCGCAGGATTGCTAAAGGCTGCGGTTTGGCGAAGACCGCGGGAGCCGAGAAGAGAAAGGGCGCGGGAGGGAGGGAGTGTTTTTTTAAAGCTGAGGGCGAACGGCGAGGAGGGAAACTCGAGAACACGAGAGGAGGGCGGGCGGCGGGCAGGAAGCTGACGTTTCCCGAGCGCCCACTCGGTCCCCGGCAGGAGGGAGGATGGGGCTCCGCGAGGCCGAGCGCCCTGGCTAAGGCCGCCCCGCGGCGGAGTGGCAGGGCCGGGATTCGAACCCGGTGCGCCTGCGGCCGCGCGCTCTCCCATCTGGGCTGAGACGCCGGCCCGCCGGGGCCGAAGGGGCCGGACCGCGGAAGAAGCGGGGCTGGGAAGGGGAGGCCGCGGGGAGGGGGCTCCGGGCAGGGGTCGCGGCCGCCCCGTGGGGACACTTGTGGGGAGGGGGTGGAACCCGCGGGGGGTTCCACCGCCCCGGATGACGCCGCAGGGACCCTGCTTCGGGCTTTCCCGCGCCCCTTCAGCGCCCCCATGTGGAAGCTTCCCCTGAAGCCGAGTCTCCCCTCTTAGGTCGGAGTTGGCGGATCCAGGCCGGGCAACAGCTGCGTCCTGGTCTCCACGGCCTGTCCTGTGGCTAGAGGGACAGGAGGTAAAGGAGGGGCTGGGCTGCCAGAGGGGGCGAGGCTCCTGGGGCCGGCAGCCTGGGCCTTCTAAGGGAGGGCAGGGGAGGGAAGTAGCCCGGAGTGCGGGATCGGCGCAACCTCTGAAAAGGGCGACTCCCCCACGTCTTTGAGGTTACCCTCCTGCGTTCAGTCGTTGACTCCGGACTTACCGAGCACTTTGCAACATGGGAGTTGCTCCAGAGCAGAGATGAAAGAACCAGACAAGCATTTATAACAATTCTAACTCAGTGTGGAAAGTGTCATGGAAGGGGCATTTGGGGAGAAACCAAGAATCCTGGACCCCCTGTACTCACACTGATGGTGCAGGCACATTTCAGACACTTGTCCTAGACGGGACACTTTGGGTTTAGGAACGTGGGTCTCTACACCCGGAGCGCACATGAAGCCAACTGAGCAGTTGCCCTCTGTGCCCAGAGGTCGTGTGGGCAGATACCTCTGCCCAGAGTCAGGACAGACATTTGGGCCCAAGCCTGCCTTGTTTTTGACATCGAGACCTTAGTCATGCGCAGAATATCTATGGAAGGGCCTGAAGTTATTGCTCAGTTTCAGAAAGAAATTCTCAGAGTCCTGAAAATGATTCAGAACAATCCCGGACCTCACCCTTATGGTCAGACACCTCCCCCACCATGGAAGGCACATGGTGGCCCTGGGGGCCCCTTTCTCTGTAGGTCCCTGACACACACCCACATCTTTTTTTTTTTTTTTTTTGCAGTTAGGCTCCAAAAGGAAAGAGAAATACATGGTGGGGAGTATTTGTCCCCAAGAAGGATCCAAGTCAAGAGTAGAAGCAAAGCGTAACATAGTGGCTAAGAATGAGACTCTGGGGGGGGCCTGGGTGGCTCAGTTGGCTAAGCATCTGCCTTCAGCTCAGGTCATGATCCTGGGGTCCTGGGATTGAGCCCCACATCTCAGGCTCCCTGCTCAGCGGGGAGTCTGCGTCTCCCTCTGCCCCTCACCCTGCTCCCCTCATCCCGCTCCTGCTGGGGCGCGTGCTCTCTCTTTCTGTCAGATAAATAAATAAATAAATAAAATTCTTAAAAAAAATAAAGAATGAGACTCTGGGTTCAAATTCTGACCCCACCACTTACCATCTGCGTGATGTCAGGTGTCAGGCACCTTTCTGGACTTCACTTCCCTTATCCCTAAGGTGGAGATCATAATATATTCACTTCAGAAGGTTGCTAAGATGTTTAAATGAGATATAATGCATGAAAGAACTTCATGCAGCACCCGGCACATTGTAA